CTCTAGGACAGTACCCCCTCAAGGGCTTTACAATAGCAATAACTGGGAAAAGAGAGACCTTCTCCCTTTGATCAATATTTCAATCCTTTCAGGAAGTGAAAAAAAAAAGGGTACTGCACTTAGGTGGATCATTTGTTTCTGAAAATGAGGAGTATCTGCTTTGACACCCTTATCAAGGATGCCTTGATCTCACAAAAGATAATGTACAGCAGGGAGAGATAGGTCAGTATTTACTGATATTTTTCTAGGATTATTTGTTTAGATGGGATTGGGGGAGTAGATTAATAAGGTTCAAGACTTTTCCTAGCCTTTGCATCTCCTCCTCTTTTGGCTACCTTGCACATGAAACCTTTGTGCCAGCACCTGCACAGATCTCTCTGCTTTCCCCAGCTTTGTTCTTTTGGACGCTATTCTTGCCCTCCCTAATAAAAACATTTCAGTCAATAACGTGAGGGCCCGGGGGCAGTGATTCTGTTTTCTCTGATGCTGAGGTCCTTGGGGGACCTTGACTATTTCCTTTGGTTTGCTGTCATCCTTCCATTTCTATCCTTAAAATGCTGTTGCAACGAGTTTATTGTAGGATGTCCTGCCAAATCTTTTTTAAAGTAGTTTTACACTCCACTTTCTAACAAATGTTTCTTTTGCCTCATGTCTCAAATATATAGCGAACTGAGTCAAATTTATAAAAATAAGAGCCATTCCCCAATTAATAAAGAGTCAAAGGACATGAACAGGCAGTTTTCAGACAAAGTAACCAAAGCTATCTATAGCCATATAAAAAAATGCTTTAAATCATTATTAATTAGAGAAATGCAAATTTTAAAACAATTCCGAGGTAACACCTCACACTTATTAGATTGACTAATAACAACAGAAAAGGAAAATGACAAATGTTGGAGGAAATGGGGGAAAATTGGGACACTGATGCACTGTTGGTGGAGTTGTGAATTGATCCAACCATTCTGGAGAGCAAAATTTGGAACTATGCCCATAGGGCTATAAAACCATGCATACCCTTTCACCCAGAAATACCACTACTTGGTCTGTATCCCAAAGAGATCCAAGAAAAAGGAAAAGGACTTATATGTACAAAAATATTTATAGCAGCTCTTTTTGCGGTGGGAAACAAATTGAAATTAAGGGCATGCTCATCAATTGGGAAATGGCCGAACAAGCTGTGGCATGTGATTGTGATGGAATACTATTGTGCTCTAAGAAGTGATGAGTGGGATGCTTTCAGAAAAACCTGAAAAGACTTAAATGAACTGAAGCAAAGTAAAGTGAACAAAGCCAAAAAATTATTATACACAGTGTATAATGATCAACTGTGAATAACTTAGCTATTCTCAGCAATACAATGATTCAAGACAATTCTGAAGGCCTTATGATGGAAAATGCCATCTATCTCCACAGAAAGAACTTATAAGAGTCTATATGCAGACCAAAGCATACCTTTTTAATTTTCTTTTTTTGGGTTTGTGTTCTCTTTTGCAACATGGCTAATACGGAAATATGTTTTGCATAACTTATAATCTACATTAAAGTGCTTGCCTTCTCAAGGAGGAAAAGGAGAGGGAATTGGGGACTCAAAAATTATTAAAAAATTAATGTTTAAAAGTTGTTTTTAATAGTAATTGAGAATAAAATAAAAACATTCTTAAAAAAAGAGTGATCAACAGTGTCAAAGGCTGCAGAGAGGTCAAGGAAAAGGAAGATTAAGAAAAGGTTACTGGATTTGGCAACTAAGAGACCATTAATATCTTTGGAGAGAGCAATTTCAGTAGAATGATAAGGTCAGAAGCCAGACTGTAAGAGAATGAGAAGGGAGAAAGTGGAGGTACTTATTGTAGATACCTTTTCAAGGACTTTAGCTAGAAAGGGCAGAAGAGATATAGGATGAAATTTAGCACAGAGAGAAGGATCAAGTGAGGGTTTTTTTTTTCAAAATGAGGGAGACACATGGGCATGTTTGTAAGAAGCAGGAAATGAGCCAGTAAAGAGAAGAGACTGAAAACAAATGAAAGAGTGGGTAAGATGGGGAGTAGGGGAGGCAGTATGTTGGACAAGACTGGATGGAATGGGATCCCTTGAACAGTTAGAGAGCCTTTTTAAGGGGAAAGGCCAGTTCAAAGCATATGCTACACAGGGATAATTCCCACATAATAACACATTTTTCTTGGCTATTGCTATAGTATTGATTTCATTTTTTGTGATGTTATTTGAGGCTCGCTCTATCCATTACCTAACAATTCTTTTCTTGACAGTGTTCATGACATACAAAAGCATGATGTTTCTGTGCAGTCTTCATGTTTTTGGTCTCTTTAAGTCCCTTCTTCCTCAACCATGCTTTCACATGTATTTCTCACCACTCCTCTTCTTTGCAATGAAATCACAAATGAATGATTTAACTTTGAGGGTCTTGTCAAATTCTTCACAGGATTTTTCTGTAACTTTGTCCTCAGCAACTGATGCCAGCGCATAAGTTGAAATTATTTTCTTGGTGGCCTTTTTCGCATGTGTTTATCAGTACTAAAATATGAAATGACCAAATGTCCCACAAAGTGACATTTCTCGTTGCCTCTGGCCAATTATAAAACCAATTCTTCCAACTTCTTCACCTCTCCAAGGAGAGCTTATGAGCCATCCTTCCCTTTAGCTGAAACCTCCTTTTTTCTTCTGGTTTCATTTATACTGAAACCGTCACGATAGATCTGGTTGAGTTCCTCCAGCAACAGGCCTACTTGCTGCTAACTGGACAAACATCTTACATCTGGAGTAACAACATTCAAATCAAAGTTTACAGACTGTCTAAAACTGTGTTATTCTTGGAATCCTTTGCTGCCCTCTCCTTCACTCTGCTGCCACTCTGCACAAACAGAAGGAGGCTGTACAGGACTGAGGGCCATTCTGTATTTTTTTGTTTCATAGGTTGCTGTGGCAAAAAAAATTAGTCATCAAAAGCCCAGCCAACAGGCAATGAGCTTTTCTGAAAATACCTAGCCTGGTCCTCACAAAGCAGACTCAAGTCTGCTGCCAGGGCCATATTCAAAAGCCTTCCACCTGGGTAGAGCCTGACAGAGACTGCATTCTGTTGGTAGAGCTTTGGAGAAACCAGAGTCATATCTCCACACTATAATGAGGCATTTGCACAGGCCTTTGCAAAAGCTTCTCCCTAATACCACTTCAAAAGCCTTTTTTTATGGTCTTTGGCTTTCCTCTCCAGCTTCAGCTAGTTTGAGCTCCAGCATTCCTGACAGCATTTGTAAAGGACTGTGTTCTGCCACTTGTGTTTATCCTCTGTGCTTGCTTTAGATATTCTGTGCCTAGCTTAAAAAAAGATCTTAATTTCTTGGCAGGTTCCATTTACATTCACATCAGTCTCTTCAGGCAACTCCCATTTGTTTCTTCCTTCTCAGAATTGTATCCTTCTTCATATTTTTAGCACTTTGTTCATGTTTCCCATCCCTCTTAGCCTGAATTCCGCTGAAGAGTTTTAGTATGTGAAATTCTATCTCATTCTTAACCATCTTCGAAATCTGCTTTTCCAAAACTGAGAGGGTAAGATGTTAGGATAGAGAAAGTTTCCTTTCCTTTGCGATACCAAACTGGAGGAAGGAATAGTCACTTCCTCCCAAAGTCCCCATCATTTCCATGCCAGAAACCTCCCCTTCTGGTGAAGAAACAGATCTAGAACTGAATTTCCTCTCGGTTTCTCTTCCTTTTGAAAGATGAAATTCTCACTAAGGCAGGCCAAAATGTTATTAACTACTCTCCTCTTGGCAGAGAGAACATGCCAGCAGATGTCTCAATAACTGAAGTTCCCCATCATACTATATCATAGTTCTGGTGCCAGGCTTGTGATCTGTTTCCCATTTCTAGTCTGGTTAGTATGCAGCATAGTCAGACAAAAAAATTACTTTTGCTCTTTATCCAAGTATCTTCCACCATGGTTTCCCTTCAAGTTCCTTGATTTCCTTATACGAACATATCTTCTTAAAATACAATATCCCTTCCTCTCCCCATCCTTTAAAATAATCTAACTTCTTTCAAAATAATGTTTACTCATTCAAAGAAACAGTCTAGGAGCCGAGGTGCCAAATACTTGACCCCTCTCAAGTAGCATCCAATTAGGAACTATTTAACAACATCGATAAAAATACAATAGATCACAGATAATGTTAATCATGTGGTTTTCTAATTCCATGTGTGGCACACAGGAATCCTTAGGTATGGACTCTTTCTCCTTGAGTTTCAGACCACTGGTCTAGAATCATGCACCTCACACCTTGACAATCTAGCTCATTATACTTGCACCCTGAAGTTGTGCTTTTATGTAGGAACACTGGTTTCTTCCTTGGATTGTATCTCCCATGAGCTCCTGGGTATCCCAACAGCTATTCTTCCTTTATTGGTATCTAGCTTGGGAATATACGTGGGTAATTCTCTCTCTCCCTTATCTTTGTCATTTTAAAGTTCTTCTGCTTGTACCTGTAAGACATCAGGCACATACACTCTTTCTAGCCCAAGTGAGGGTCCTCTATCCCTGACCAAGCAGAGAAGACAGTATGGATGGCCGTGGATGCAGAGGCCCCGGTCTGCACCAGGCTTTCTTTTTCATAGCCTGGGTGACTCTGGGAAAGTCACTTAACTTTTCCTCATCTGTAAAATTTAAGAGGGTGGGCCAAATGATGTCAGTTGTTCATTATAGGTCTAACTCTGGTATGAAGACCTGATGAGGATGAAAATACCCCCGTCTGTCATAGAAGAGTCAGCTGGTGATGCTGTGGTGACCATGATGCTCTGGTCCAGTGGAATGGTCCCGTCACTGGCATTAAGCCTCTGTCAGCAAATGAATCAAGGAACATAATTAGAAGGGCATCACTCCTACTTAGTACACAGCCTCTAGTGGAACAAGGTCTTTTAAAGGCCTTTAAAGAGCTTGAAATCGGCAGGATTAAGGTTACGTGTGATTTCAACTTCAGAATCTTTATATATGTTACCTGAAGATGTCCAATGTCTTATGTTCCAGAACCAAATTTGTATTTCCAGTTAGGTCAAGGTCCTGCAGGGTAGGAGGCAAAGCCTCAGGAATCAGAATTTCTGTCAAGTCATTACAGCTTAAATCTACAAACTGACAGGGACAGAAAAATACAAAAAGAAACTACATCAGGAAAAGCAAAGTCTTCATTCCCAAATACTCACGACCCCCTACCCTGTATGCCAAGGGTATTTAAATAATCACTTCTCAAACCAAAAATCCCATTCTATCCTTCTAGGGCCCTTTTCCAAATAGAAGGAAAACCACCCCACATCCACACCTGGGGAACTCATCGAGGTCAGTAACCTTTCCTTCCAAAGGCTATCCCTCACTCCCATGGAGATACCTGGATCTGAGGCAAATGCAGGATCTCTGGAAATACGCTGATATTGTTGGAGTGCGCCACAAGAGTGTGCAGCTGTTTACAGTTTGCAATGGTGGTAGGAATTGTCTTTAGTTTGTTGCCGCTCAGGTTCAGCTCCTCCAAGTGCTCCAACTTGTTCAATTTGCTGAAGATGAAACAATACAATAGAATTTTGGTGCATCCCCGTCCCTACACTCACGTGCCCTTCATCTCTCTCACCGGTCTCTCTGACTCCCTCTCATTCATCCTCCACATATTTGCCAAAGTGAAGTTTCTAAAGCCTACATCTGATCATGTCAACCTCCTGTTCAATTATTGCATCTAACAGAAATAGAAACTTCTCTGTCTGGTATTTAAGGCCCTTCACAGTCTGGCTCCAGCCTTCCCATCAAACTAGTCTGCTGGCTGCTTCTCATACATGGCATTCTATTTGCTACAGACACACCTGACTTTGCACAGGCTGTCCTCTTATATACGTACTTCCCAGCATCCTTAGCTTCCCTCCAACGTCACCTTTCCTGGTTCCCTACGGCTGCCAGTACACCCTTCCTGACCCTGAGTTTATTTATCTAAGTACAGGGTGTTTGTCCTGATAAGCAGTGAGGGGCAGGGATTGTTTGATTGTCTCAGCATCCCCAAAACCCATTAAATGCAGTTCCTTAAATGTAGGAGGAGCTTAATCACTGTTGACTGATCATGTAAAAATTTCTTAATTTTCTTTTGAAAAATTTTTAAACATTTTGAAAAGATCATACACTAAGAGGGCATCTAACCAAGCTCCTCATTTTATAGATAAAGAACTGAGGCCCAGAGACCTTGTCCAACATCAAACAGATTATAAATGGCAAAGGTAGAATTTGGATTCAGATTCTATAAGCTCATGACTTCTTTCTTTTAATGTCAGCACTTATTCACTGACAGGTTAAATCTACATTAAAAAATAATATGCCTCTTAATTCATTTTAGATGCATCAGAAAATTTTTGATTCAGCAGCATTTACTAGGCATCTCCTTTCTTCTATCAATAATTCTTTCCCTACTTTCTGGAAAGCATTTATATTTTCCTTAAGAAGTGTGACAGAATTAATTTCTTACATCATCACGCTGAGTATATCAGAGTCCTGAGCAATCTTATATTCAAAAGACACTAAAGAACTCTTTCAGATTTGGGAACTACTAGTTCCCAAACAGATAACAGTTCCCAAGTAGAATGGACAAAATAGAAGCAAATAATCTCCAGTAGACAACAAGAAATATTTTTTAAAAGTCGAAAGATCAGAAAAATAGAAGAAAATCTTCAAAAGGTCAAATAATTCATTCTCCTATTGTCAATGAAAGTACAATGAATAAATACAAAGTGTTTTGTAAAACAGTGATGAGGGGGGAAAAAACTCTTTAATTCATTAAATTAATTTAAATTAAAAGAACTTTAATTTATCTTATAGATGGGCCTTTAAAAGTGCACTGTTCTAGGGGCAGCTAGGTGGCACAGTAGATAGAGCACCGGCCCTGGATTCAGGAACACCTGAGTTCAAATCTGGCCTCAGACACATAATACTTACTAGCTGTGTGACCCGAGGCAAGTCACTTAACCTCACTGCCTAGCCAAAAAACAAAAACAAAAACAAACAAACAAAAGTCTACTGTTCTCAGAAGACTAAGAACTAACAGAATGGGGTGCCCAAGAATTAAACAAACATCATAAAATTTCTTCCTAGATATTAATGTTTCTATCCCATTGTTATTAACCTTTAAATCTATGACAACACAAAACATCCTCCTTGAGTAAGGCATTAGAAGCGTTTACTTTTGCCACCCAGCTGGAGAACTCAAAAGATCAACGACTGTCATCTCAGCATAAATTTTAAATCCTGAAAACAAAACTATAATGTTCACGTTGCCTCTATGGACCCAAAGCAGCACGCATGTATTCACCTTGCTGGGAAAGTCTGCAGCTGGTTATCTGCCAGGTGCAGGATTCGGAGGTGTGGGTGTCCTACCAGGACAGGGATACATTGGTCTGTCAGCTGATTACTGGTCAGATAGAGGAGCTGCAGCATGCTCAGACTCTCTTCCCCAGTGCAAGCAGAAGGCAGAGACTCTAGACTATTTGCAGAGGCATTCAGGTACCTGAGACTAACAGAGGAGTCAAAAATTATCAAGGAGAATATACATATATAGCCATTTTCACTGAGTGCACCTATTGCCTTAAAAATGGGAGTTTCAGAAATTATTTCATGCTCTCGGAAGGCAGCTGGGTGGTACACTGGATAGAGTGCCGGGCCTGGATTCAGAAAAACTCAACTTCCTGAGTTCAAATCTGGCCTCAGATACTTCCTAGTTGTGTGACCCTGGGCAAGTCATTTAACTCTATTTATGTCAGTTTCCTCATCTGTAAAATGAACTGGAGAAGGAAATGGCAAACCACTCCAGTGTCTTTCCCAAGAATATCCCGAATGGAGTCACAAGGACTGAAAAACGACCCAACAACATGCTCTCAAAAGAGCATTTGGTCTTCCTTCCTTTTCTTTGTCAAGGTTCTATTCTTATTCCTCTTCTCTTCAATGCCTGCGCTTTCTTCTTTGGCAATCTCGTTCCCACCAACGGTATTCAAGGCCTTTGCTCCGACCACTCCCATTTATCCCCATCTGACTGCTTGCTATTCCCTAGACACACACTGCACTTTCTCATTTCTGAAACATTTTTGGTACCACTTTCCCAAACTGAAAACATCCTCACCCACCCACCAAATTCTGTTTAAAAACATGCACGATGCAGCCTTTAAGGCCCATGGCAGTCACCAGCTTCCCTCATTCTCTCAGCCAAGAGTAACCTCTCCTTCTTCTGGACTCCTATAACATGTTACCTGCACTTAAGACACTTAAGACATGCCGAACCACAATACAGTTATTTATGCATGTTTCTTTGTAAGAATAAGTATTTTGAAGTCAAGCACCATTATTTCATTCATTTTTTAAACACTCAATCATATATTGCACAAAATAAAGGTGTCATAAATAAAAAAACATAAATTAAAAAATCCTAGTACAAATATTTATTAAAAGATGCCCTCATGTTAAAACTTCTTATGAAGTTTTCCTAAGAAAATCTAACCACTTATTTTTAAGGCACAGAAATATTACATATTTAAAGGAATATGTGTTAAGTACAGAATGAGTTAGGTGCTCTCCTATGGCCTTGTCAATCTCTTGGCATTAGTTTTCCCATTCCCAAAATGAGACCACCATCCTTTCATCTGCTAGGGAAACTTTTGTTGTTGATGGCTCTTGTGATTTTACTGCAGAATGGAGGGGACTATCAGTAGGTAACTCCTTCTACCAGTTTCTATATTCCAAGAGGGGGAGAGCAAAGAGCCCATCCATAAATTTATATTTCAAGAACCAAAAGGTTTTTTGGGGAGACCTTTTCTGCCAGCTGTTCATGTCACAATGTCAGAGTTTTTAAGGTAACAATGTAAAGGAAGGCTCTACCAATAATTAATAGAACTGACTAATGAGGGTATCTCATTAGTCAAATTAGGCAAAGAAAAGGAAGAAAGACCAAATGCTCTTCTGAGAACATACTGGTGGATCATTTTTCAGTAGTATCCAATTCTTTGTGATTCCATTTGAGATTTTCTTGGCAAAGACACTGCAGTGGTTTGCCATTTCCTTCTCTAGCTCATTTTACAGATGAGAAAACTGATGTAAATAGGGTTAAGTGATTTGCCCAGGGTCATATAACTAGGAAGTATCTGAGGCCAGATTTGATCTCAGGAAGATGAGTTTTCCAGAATGCAGGGCCCAGCACTCTATTCACTGTACCATCCAGCTGCCCTCTTGAGAGCTTACACAGCAATCCAACAATGAATTCAGCTCTAGTGACTTATTCTTGTCTAGAGAGGGCAGGTACTGTTAAGGGTCACAGTACTAGAACAACTCTCTTTCCCTTTTCTTTGAAAGATCACAACAATACTTATTACCTGTGATGACAATTCATTATAGGACCCAAAGGCATGCAAGGAACTGATTGTGATCACACTCCCTTATGCTCACTCAGGATGTGGACTACCACCTCATAAAAACACTGTGACATATTACAACTGGCAATAAAGCCTCTAAAACAAGGCAGACAGTCACGCAAATAGACTCATAACCTCTAACAGTTCCAAAGGTCACTTTCACCATAGGTGCAGGGTTAATACAGCTTACTCATCCAAAAATTTCATCCCCCACAAAAGCCTATTTGTGGTACTTACTTTAAGGCCTTGGAGAAGAGAGTGTCTGGCAGCCTGGCGAGTAAATTATGCTGCAGATCCAAGACTTCAAGAGGAATGTGTTCCAGAAGGACTGGAAGGCTTTGTACGTGGTTGTGTCCCACCATCAGTTTCCTAAGACTCAGACTACTCAGAATCCTAGGAGGGAAGAAAGCCCAAAGGAACAAATAAGAAACTTAACAATGTTTCTCGCTGAGCCTTACAAAAGAAATGTCTATAATACTGGATTTGTCCTGAGCACTTATTTAATAAAATCCGGAAAATAAAAGGACATGATATCAGATAATATAAATTGGGCAACGTGCACTAGCCAAAAAAGAGCATCTCTAATGCTTTGTTAACCAATCACCAGAAGAACATGACTGTTCAGGGAGAAGGAAATTAATGAAAATAGCAAACATAAGACAGACTTGAACTATATCTTATTTTTTACAACAAAATCACTCTGGATTTTAAGCCTAAAAAGAGACTTCTGCAAGTTTTAAATAGCTTCAAATACACAGTTAAAACCCAACATTTTGTTTTAATTTTAAAAACACTATCCTGAAGAGAGGATCATAAATCTGGGAAAAGACAATTTAGTGGTATTTAAAGAATATAAGTGTTTGTGTGTATAAAAAAATATATAATATATATATATATGTACCTAATGGGGATCTCTGTTAGAAGATTGTAGCTCATATCCAACACCTCAATCTTCTTTGATTCACAGACCCAGTCAGGAACATACTCTAATTGATTCCTAGGAAAACACACAATTAAAAAGGCATCATTTGTAACAAGTAGTAGAAATGGAAAACCACTCAAATTCTTCTTAGACACCTCATCAAGATGTGAAGGTGAACCTTGGGTTTTCTAAATGTGTCCCTAAAGCATAAACTCTGGCTGTTTTCACCAGGCTGAGTGATAAAATTGTGTCTCATCTACAGCCCAGCCTAATGAAGCCTGGAAAGGCTCATCACCAGAAGAATGGCCACTCATCCAATCAGGAACTGTTATTTGAGCTGATGGAAAGAGTACCCATACCAATGAAATTGCAGATTTTTTTTAAAAAAAGCGTTTAAGTAGAAAAGGAAAGCAACAAATAATTTCTAAAAAAAATATTCAAACTATTAATGATGATCGTTCTCAGGAGAAAGAGCAATGAACTGCAAACTGAGGACATCTACCTTACAGAAGTATTTTGTCTGTAGGCATTACATATGTGTGAAAATTACTTTGTGAAAGGTACCAGTTCATTCACCAATTAACAGTTTGCCTCCTGTATTCCCAATGTGATGTTACTTGAAAATCTTTGCCCTCAAAAAGAAAGTTTATACGTGAAAATCATCTTGTTATTAGAGAAAGGAAGAAACAGACTGCTGAAATCAAACTGTCACAAAGCTATATCGCAGAAAATGAGGATGTCATAATACCAGTTAACTTATTCTCTAACACAGGCATAAGGGCTCCTCAGTGAGGAAGTGCCTACAGACTTAAGACTAAAGATTCTGAGTCTGTCCCTATGCCATGTGATTGTAGATCAATCTGTCAGCCTCCAAGGACCTTTTTTTTGCGGGGGAGAGAGTGGGGAGGGCAACTGGGGTTAAGTGACTTGCCCAAGGGTGCACAGCTAGCTAGCTACCATGTGTCTGTGGCCAGATTTGAACTCAGGTCCTCCTGACTCCAGGGACAGTGTTCTGTCCACCGAGCCACCTAGCTGCCTCTCCAAGGACTTTTAAGAGCCTCTTCAGAGCAATAAGGAAAATGACACTGAGCTAGCTGATAAAACTCACTGTATTCTAAAATACACACAACAAACAAAACCCCTAAAGTGTAATACTCTCTCAACAACTTAAGAATGTTCTCTCCAGGGGAGATGGGAGTGACTTCTTCTTCTTTGCATTCCATGACTAAGTCGGGTTTTTGGTCAGGAGACAGAGGCAGCACGGGGTCTGAGGAAGGGAACGAGATTCAAAGGGAGAAGGCTTGGCTTCCATCCCTGCAGCACTATTTACTACCTGTGTGACTTCATCTCTCTGGGCCTCACTGTGCTCATCTGTAAAATGGGGCAATGGCAATAACTTGTTTGACATTCCAGGACATTGATTCTGAAGCCGATAATCTGAGTTATATATATTATCCTTGATTTCTGCTATCTCTAGACAATCCAGGGCCTTTTCAAAGTTCTAGACCAGAAAGGGTCAGGTGAAGGGATTTAAAAAACAAAATGAAACGAACGAACGAACACACACACACAAACACACACACACACACACACACAAAATAGTAAACCCAAGGCCCCTGAGTCAAATAAATGCCTCCCCCAATCCAAGTAACTCAGACTCAATAGGCAAAGGATAAAATTGTCAACAGAGGAAGAGTGGATCTTTTAAATCTCAGAATAACTCCTTTGTTCTGAGCAAACTATAATAGTCTGCAACTTAAAGAACTGTTGACTCATGGCTCATTTCCTAACACAGCTACGCTGAACCAAAGGAGCAGAAATCCTTCTAGTGATGACCATTCCTTTTCAGAACTCCCACACACAGGTCATCAAAACATTCCTATGTGTCTGCATGTCTATTCCCTGAAGGAGGCTCAAGAAGTATTTATATATGATCCCCTTCAGTAACCAAAAACACACAAAGCCATCTCTTTCTCTTCGTGGTACACACTTACCTAGAGAGTTCTAAGGAAGTAAGCAGACTAGGCACTGGATAAACATTCACTGTTGTCAGCCCTAATCAAAAAGGAAGCAGAATCATTAGCTAAGATGAGGCAAAGCAAAGTGAAGATTAACAGTAAAACCAGAGAAGGGAAGCCTCCAAGACAAGTGTTCTCAACCTATGGTCTGTGAGCTTCTCGTTAGCAATATTTTAATAACAGTATTTTAATATGATTGGTTTCCTTTGTAATCTTGTAATTTATTTATGTGTTAACAACACAATTTGGAGAAGGGGCCCACAGGTTTCCCCTGGCTGCCAAAGGGGTCCCAAATATTTTTAACACAAGTGAAGACACTGAGGGAAGCCTTTCAGAGAGGGCTGGCCTGCATGGCTTCCAAGCTCCCTTCCCAGACTCAGAAACGGTCTGATTGTGCTAGGACCCCACATCTCAAACTGAGCCTGTTCAAAACACAACCACTGCCTCTAAACCTCCCTAGGGGGCAGGGGCCATCTCCAGTCGTCCTGATCCATGTCTCGCCACTGGACCCAGATGGCTCTGGAGGAGAAAGTGAGGCTGGTGAGTGCACAGTTCTCCCTCACTCAGATCAAAGTCAACTGCAAGTCATGTCATCAACTCCCTGATGTCACCATCCTCTTCGAGAACGATGAACAAACACAACAACCCTAGAGGGTGGCTAGGTGGCGCCATAGTGCACAGAGTGCTGAGGCTGAGGTCAGGAAGACTCATCTTCCTCAGTTCAAACCTGGTCTCGGACACTCACTAGCTGTGTGACCCTGGGCAAGTCACTTAACCCTGTTTGCCTCAGTTTCCTCATCTGCAAAATGAGCTGGAAAATGAAATGACAAACTACTTGAGTACTTTGGCCAAGAAAACTCCAAATGGGGTCACAAAGAGTCAGACATGACTGAAAAATGACGGAACAAGAATTTCAAAACAGCCTCTTCATTTGCTGTTTTAGGCTCTCCCTACTATAATCCATCCTCCACCTAGTTGCCAAAATAGTTTTTCTAAAAGTATATGTCTGACTAAGAGCCATCCTATTAGTGGAAAGAACACTGACAATGTATGGACTGAGAGCATGGGGTCAAATCCAACCAATGAAGTCGACTCATTTTGTGTCCTTGGGGCCAACCCCTTAGCTTCCATGGGTTTGGTTTCCTTATCTATAAAATGAGCTGGCCTAGAGAGCCTCAGGCTCACAGCTCTAATTTTATATTCCTATATGGTGTCTTAGAGTAAAACATCAACTACAGTAGACAGCTTCCTGGCTGTGCCTTGACAAGACCGTCCAACTGCTGACTCCGGGCATTTTCATAGGCTATTCCCATTCCTGAATTCTCTCTCCTCAGTCTCTTGGCTTCCCTGAAGTCTCAGTTACAACCCCATCTTCTACAACAAGACTTTCCTGATCTTCCTCAATGCTAGTTATGCCTTCCTCAGTGGGTCATATCTCTACTTTTTGATAGAGAGAAGTTTGTGTGTTCCTAGTTGTTTGGATGTTGTCTCTCCTATCAAACTGTGAGCTCCTGGAAAACAGGGACAGTTTTTTGCCTTTCTTTCAATTTCTAGCATTTAGAACAGTGGCTAGCACAAAAAATGCTTCCTGCCTGGACTGACAAATACTGGGTATTTTGACCCACTTCAATTGTTTGACTAGTAATTGTTTCAGGAAATAAACAAGGGTATTCAATACGCTTAATTTATCAAGAATATTTCTTAACAATAAGCCAGGTAAAGGGTTGGGTTTTGTTTGGGGTTTTTTTCGCCTTTTTTTAAATTTTGAGACATCAAAGCTACACGTGCTTAGTTTGTTCCAGGCTCATTTTGTGCAGATCCTATTTAACACAATGCAGCTTTACAGATTATTAATGATCAGGAACTGCTCCCACCTCAGAAAGTCCTTTTTTCTTATTTCAGGCTACCTATTAACTTTGTATAGGTTAGGAAAGAGCATTGGCCCGTTTCTAAAACAATATATCTGCTCTTAAGCAGGGGTTTCCTTTTTTTCCCCTTTCCTTTTAATAGTATTATTTTTTCCAACTACATGTAAAGACAATTTTAACATTCCTTTTTTATAAAATTTTGAGTTTCAAATTTTTGCCTTTCCTTCCTTCCCTCCCTACTCCCTAAGAGGGCAAGCAATTTGATATAGGTTATATAAATAAGCAGGGAATTCTTAACCTAGAGTCTGAAAAAAAAATTGAAACCCTTTTATAACCTTATTTCAATATTATTATTTCCTTTGCAATCACATGTATTTTATTTTATGCATTTAAAAACAGTTCTCTGAGAAGTGGTCCATAAGCTTCATCAAACAGCCCAAGGAGCCTATGACTCTCAAGTATTATTTTTAAAGAGAATCTAAGTCTATTCTCACCTAAATTCAGAGTTCTGGCTCAAAGTTTCCACAAAGATATGTTTAAGGTAAAAACTGGTTTGCTAGAGCACCTCTGTTAATTAAAAAAGTCCTTTAATCAGTGAGATTCTAAAACCTTAACTTACACAGAAAAAAAGAAACCAACATTCAAAATGAAGGCCATGGCAAAAAGTCTGACTTTTTTCTCTGCTAAAAACTTCATTCTATTCCTGTCTAGTTAAAAAAAAAAAGTGATGCCACTAAGCAAACAGTCCAGAAACATAAAAACTAGGGCTCTCACTCTTCAAAGACTATGGTGTCAAGGATGTTTAGTACAATACTGAGACCATCTACTGAAAATACCTTTGCCTCTTGAGGATTTTGTTAAAATGCCTCTTATTGTATGAACCCACATGGTGACCCTATCTTAAAAGACTGCCACTGGGGCTGCATACAAGCTATGACAGAAACAACTGTTCACATACCAAAGAAAGTTCTCAATATTCTCTTTCCCCTCTTACCTCTTCCAAACACCTATCACTCAGGCTTGAGACCTCAATTCTTCATTCCCAGTCATCTTACATACCCAGTGTGTTGTTAAGTCTAGTCATTTCTACCTTTACGATGCGTCCCCCATTTATCTCCTTCTCCCCTCACATCACCCTGACATGGGCCTTCATCCCTCCCTCAAGCCTTCGTTCTCCGAACTGCAAAGGGATCTTCCTACAGCACAGGTCTGGCCACATCACCCTTCACCCCCAATCTGCAGTGGCTTCCTATCGCCTCTAGGACCAAATACAAAATCCTCCGTTTGTCAGAGGAACTTGGCCCCTTCCTACTTTCCCAAACTTCTTATACTTGCTCCCTCTATGTTGCAGGGACATAGCACACCATCTCCTGACTCACTTTTTCAACAGCCTGATGCCAGGTGTGGAATCCTCTTCCTCCCCACCACTGCCTTTTGGCTTCCTTCAACTTTCAGCTAAAATCTCAGCTTCTGCAAGAAGCCTTTCCCATCCTTCTCAATGCTAGAGGCTTCCCCCTTACTTTTCTCCCATTCATCAACATCCAACTGATTGGTGCAAAGCTGTCGGCATGCTGACCTCTCTATTACAATGTGGGCTGTTTAAGGGCAGAGATGTTTTGCCTTACTTTGTATCAGCGGCTTACCGCAATGTCCCACACCAAGTAAAGTGTTCGATGAATGCTTATTGAATGACTGACTTTCACAAAGCCTCAAGCATCCTTCCACACAAGAGCCAATGAGCAAGGCAGGAGCAATTTTCTTAGAAAGTGTTTTCTTCCCAGAGCTTACACAGAACAGGCAAGTGGAGGAAAAATGGCAAATTTACTGTTGGAGTTGGCACAGAGGGCCCGCAGGGTGAAGCCACTGAGCGTTAGGTCCCTCAGCTGATTCCGTTCACAGTGCAGCTGCTGGAGGTTTCCCAGGGAACTCAGATCCAAGTCAGTCAACTGGTTATCCCGCAAATCCACATGGGTAACATGCTTGTTCCCTTCCAGGTTGTCAATAACTGTTTTCTTCAAATTGTTCAATCTAAACATTGGTCAACAAGTCACTGGAATTAAATTCTACTAAGGAAACCAAAAGGTTAATAGCTCAAAAAACCCACGATGTCCCTTTTCCTATGTCTAACACCCACAAATAGCATTTAAATGCCTAATTTACTATTATATCATACAAAGAACCATAAAAAGCTAGTCCCTTTCCTGTAGCAATTTGTAATTTGAGACAACTCAGACTTGCAAACACATATACAAGTTAAATAGAGAGCAAAATAAAGAGAAGTTTATCCATGAAAAGATAATAAAGTTAGGTTTTTGTCTGTTTTGCATCCTGACTGTTCAGAAACTGTCATTTAAAAGTATGGGGAACAGAATATGTTCCATTCCAGGTTAAGCAAGGTAAAGGCCGTGGTCATATTCCCTTGCAGTACAGCAGAACAGTGGCTTTTTAAAAATTCTACTTCTGAGAACCTCTGCACATGGAATATTCAAAGCAAAGGTGTCAGTGGACAGGAAAACCATTTACATATGGACAAAATTCGGACAGCCTCCAATGACAAAAATAGCAAATGATTTCTCGCTTTTTCTCCTTCTTTATAAAGAACATGCACAGTAACTGATGTTTTTTAACAATAAGTCTGAGTCATCAAGGTAAAATCATGTTATTTAAATGTATATATCATTTAAATAGGCAGAAATATTTCCATAAAAAAATCATTAAAACAGACACTAAAAGGCTGTTGATGGAATTATGAATCTGAATTTGTAACTGTGCTTAGAAAGTGACTAAAATGTCCACACTGTTTGACCCAAGACCCCTAGGCTAAGCATACAAATAGAAAGAAATGCCCTACAATACAGGACAATAATCATAAGCAATACTTTTGTTACAGCAAAGAACTAGAAACTAGAGGATGCCACTGACTGGGGAATAGCTGAACAGACTGTAGTATATGAATGTAATGGCATATTAATGAATAGTAAAACAATGAATATGAAGAATTCAGAAAAGTATGGGAAGACAGATGATTGATAAAGAGCGAAGAACCAACATACACAATGATACGATATATGAATAATGATGTAAATGCAAAGAACAACTGATAACACATCCTTTTAAGGCTCTGCACTCCCTTCTTTGCTGAAGTGGGGAACTATGGATGTGGAATACTGAATGCATCAGTAGATACAGCTGATGTGTTGGCTGGTTGTGCTAAACTGTATTTCCCTCTTTCTTTCTTTGTTACAAGAGATGGCATGCTGGATAAAGGAGGAGGGAGACAGGTTTTCAGAAAATAACATCATGTAAAAACAAAAGATAATTAAAACTTTTTTAAAATCCCATGCCTAACGGAGAAGCTTAACTAATCTGGAAAATTCACTTCTTTTGAACACCACATTCCCCAATGATGCCGATAAATGAGGCATTACTTTATCTTTCAAACAAAATTAATTCCTATTCTGAACCTTAATGCAGTAGTCTCAGAAGTAACAGAGAAAGCTACTACACAGTTCTTTCAGAGATTAATCCGAAAAGTCGCACAGAAAGGATACCCTTACCTGAAATCTACATGTCTGATGTGCTTCATCCTGTTCAAAACCCCAAGATTCAGGACTTCTAGCTGGTTGCCTGCCATAGCCAGCTTCTCTAGCATAGTGAGCTTCACACAAGCCTCAGGAATTTGGCTAAAATTGTTGAAGGAGAGTCCAAGAGTGGAAAGCTGTTGCAAATTTCCCAGTTCTTCAGGTAAAGTAGTGAGGAAGTTGCCATCAAGACAGAGTGTCTGTAGACTGTGTGAAATTAATTTAAGATGGGGGGGGGAACTCAGTGAGCAAAGAATTTCTCAAAATAAGCAGATCTGGAAGTGATGAGTTCTAACTCTAGGACAACGCAGACAAGGAATAATGAATTCCAGCAAATCAACAATCTCCTAAATTTCCATATCTTCAGAGATCTAACAAATTAGCCAGCAGCAAAAGTGTCAAATTATGAACATTTACAGCTGTCAGAAGGCTCTGTCAATATTATGTACAATGAGAATTCTGGTGACTGAAACTGCCACTTGGTGTTGGAACATTGGATGACAGCCCCTAGTACTGATATGATTTATTTTCTAAGAAGATCCAGGGATTCATGATCATATAAATGACCAAACCAAAGCTACTTTCAAAGCACTCTACTTACTTGCATTTTTGCAACAAACATTCGATTGTTTTCATTCCAAATGCTAGGTCAGTTTCCCACAGTATGAGGCAAAAGGGAAGCATCAGAGGATTCTTATTCTAGAGTCCAAAGAGCCCTCAGTAGTAATCCAGTCCAATTCCGTCCCTTTTCAGATGAGAGCCCTCAATTCCAGGAGAGGTGTGACTTGCCCAACATAAGGTATTTATTTTTTTTATTTTTTTGGCTAGGCAACAGGGTTAAGTGACTTGCCTAGGGTCACACAGCTAGTAAGCGTTATGTGTCTGAGGCCAGATCTGAACTCACGTCCTCCTGAATTCAGGGCCAGTGCTCCACCCACTGCGCCACTTAGCTGCCCCCCAACATAAAGTATTAAGTAGTAGAGGCAAGAACTCTTAACTCCTAAGCCAGTGGTCCTTCCACAGTACTGTGGGGTCTAAGTAAGGTTAGATACTCACTTCAGAAGATTGCCAATCTGACCAGGCAACTCATGAAATCCATTGCAGGAAAGGTTGAGTTCTGTCAGAGTGGAGATCTCACAAAGTAAAATGGGGAATAACCCAAGCTTGTTGTGGGACAAATTCAGGCCCTTCAGCTGAGAAAACCTGAAGAGAAGAAAAACAGGAATCACAACAGAAAGTAACTTTAAATTTCTGCCTTTGATTCCAGTCCTAAAATGGATTTGCTTCTTTCACCCCTTTCTCTTCCTCCTCCTGCTGCTAATCACAATAATAAAAACTAGCCTTTATATAGTACTTCAAGGTTTGTAATAACACTTTACGTATATTATCTCATTTGGTCCTTACTACAAGGCAGGTGCTGTTATCATCCCCATTTTACAGAGGAGGAAATTGAGGTCAAAATTAAGGGACTTGCCCAGAGCCACAGAGCTGGTCAGTATCTGAGGCAGAATTTGAACTCGGGTCTTCCTAGACTGCAAATTCACTCCACCACCCTTTCCTATCCCAAGAATGCCTGTGAAACAGAATTCCTTTCTATCCAACCCTGTGTTATTCCACGAGCTTGAAATTTCCTATTTTCTATTCCAGAGGCAATGTACTGTATCGAGAAGGCCTGTCACAAACATCTGACACACATCACAGGTCAAATCCTAGAAGCAAACGTACATATGTAATAAGATCCACCTGCAGCTTTCAATGCTGTCCGGCCCGTCCTTTGTTCTTGAATCCTTCATAATCCTTCTTTCTTTTTATTGCTATCCAATCCCTAGTCCCCCTTGTCCTCCCACCTCCTATATAGGCATGAGAATTAAAAAAAAAAAAGCTCTGTAACAATATAGCCAAGCAAAACAAATTTTCATATTGGCTGCGTCTGAAAATGTCTGTCTCATTTTGCAGATCCTTAGATTTGAGATGTCAGATTATCTGTCATACCTGTGATAAATATTTTCCCCCAATGTGTTCATTTTTATTATATACACTTTTAATTTTAATGTGATCAAACACATATCTTGACCCTAATAATTTATTTTGTTAAAAAAAAATACACCTCATAACAACTGTGATAAATACTTTATTCTATTCCACCTTTTTAATAGTTGTGTTTTTGTTGTTGAAGTCTCATCTAGCTAAAATTTATTGGGAAAAAGTACGTGAGTCTAAATCAGGGGTGGGGAACCTGTGGCCTTGAGGCCACATGTGGCCCTCTAGGTCCCCAAGTGGGACCCTTTAACTGAATCCAAACTTCACAGAATCTTTTATTAAGGGAATGTGTTCTGTGAAGTCTAGATTCAGTCAAAGGGCCGCACTTGAGGACCTAGAAGGCCAACATGAGGCCTCAAGGCTGCAGGTTCCCCACCCCTGGTCTAAATGATTTCCAGACAAGTCTAACCAATTTTAGAAGTAAATCTGTCAAATAATAGTAATAATCCTTTCCCCAGCTTTTACTTGCCATAAATTTATCAAACGTGAATAATTTGCATTGTTTGGTATATAGCTATTCTGTTCTGTTGAGATATTTCTCTATTTTTTCCCACAGTTCCAGATAATTTAAAACAAATTTAAGAAGCTACTGTAATAAAAAATCTGGAATTCCAAGACCACTGGTTGTTTTCTCCCCTTCTCAAGGTGCCTCTTGATTTTCTTGCCTGCTTGTTTTGCCATATAAATTTCACCACAATCTTGTTCGTTTCTATAAGGAAGTCCTCTGGTTCTCTGCTTGATCTTACATACACATACTACTTGGGGAGCACTGCTATTTTTTCTGTATTAATCTGATCTACCCACACATGTATGCTCAATGTCCTTCCAGTTATTTAGCTCCTCTTCTCTTTAACTCATTAGTTTCCTAGGTAGGTTAATTCCCAAATATTTTATAATTCTGCTCACTCTGAAGTTTTTAAAATGGTTTTTTGGCTATTACTACTAAATGAGACTACAAATGGTATCTGTGGATTCATTTTGTATCCTGAAATTGACAGGCTTGCTTATTGGGTCTATTAATTTTTTGTGAAGTGGTTGGATTTTTGACATACACATCTATAGGTAATGTTATTTTGAACTCAATTCGCAATGTTAAAATTTAATATTTTTCTTTCTTATTGTAATTACTAGAATTCCTAATACATGTCAAACAAAAGCAGCGACAGCAGTCATACAACAGTCTCGCTCACTTTATAGTTGTTTTTGCAGGAATGCTTCTCCACTGCATAATAAGGTGGCTCTTGGCCTAAAGTAGATACTTTTTGTTGTGGTGAGGAAAAAATCTTTTTATACTTATTCATGGTTTTAATTGTGAAGAGTAGATTGGATTTTTATCAAATTTTTTTTCTGTGTCTATATTATAATCACTTGGTTTTGAGTTTTTCTGGCTTTGTTTTACATCATTATTATGTTGGTAATCTGATGATGACAGGGAAACAAAATGCTTATTAATTAAAAATGTTATTTTAAAAATAACTAAAAAACAATAACTAAATATTTAAAAGTTATGAAATTATCACATATCAAAATCTATGAGTTGCAGCCAAACTCATTTTCAGAAGCAAATTTATAGCTCACATTTTCTTAATGTTTTACTGTTCTACTGCCTATTTTATTGAGTATTTTGCCTATGAAAACAAGTTTGGTTCCAACCCACAGGTTTTGATGTTTGACATTATCATTTAAAAATATCCTACTACTGTTTTTCTGAATGCTTCTTTAACTAAATCTCTAATAGTTTTTAGCCTCTAATTAGTTTTACATTTGCTCATGTTACTTAATTCTAATTTTGTTGCACTATGGTCTGAAAATATGGCATGTATTAACTGCTGCTGTTTTGAATTTATGCTGTTTCTTTATGACCTACTGCGCAATCTATTTTTATGAATGTTCCATGTGTTCTTAAACAGACTGTACAGTTTTCCTCATGTATCTATTAATTTCAATTATTGAAAAAGCAGTTCAAATCTTACTTCTCTATTATTTATCTTTATTTGACTTATCACATGTTGATATGGGGGCAATTCAGGTTCCTTATTATATATCTTTGTCTATCTCTCCTTGTGTCACTATTAATATCTTTTGGCTTTCAGTGCTGAATTGTTTGGTGCATATAATTTGAGAATTGTTACATATTTGTTATTTTTCTTTTCACTATGATTTACTGTTTTCTTTAGTTTTTTTTTTCTAATTTAAGTTCACCTTGTCAGATACTGTTACTTCTACCCTTGCTTTTTCTGACCCTGTAGTTTTTTTGAGACTAACCTCTTCATTTTAATTTAGCTATATACATTTTTTCTTTAGAAACTGACAGGCACTGATTTTGATCCATTCAAATAATTTCTTTTGATATTTACAAACTCTCAATTATACCTCCCTAAGTTTTAACTTCCTTTTTAGTGTAGAAATTTTGCCTTTGAGACCATCAGCTTCTTTCCCTTCTTCCTTTTTTTTTTTTTATTTCTTATCGGAGCTAAACTACTTTTTGGAGTACTTTCATTTTTTCTTGTTATGAAAATTTAAAAATGACACATGAATTCAAACACTGTTTTTATAATAAATATGGTTCTTTTTAAAAAATGTCCTTTATATGTATGTTAATAATATGCATTTTTATTCCAAACTAATTCTGTTGTTTTTATTTTAGTTGGAAAAGATTACATAACTTATTTTTACATTTGTATTTATATTAAATCTTAGGGGATAGGGATAGAGATTTGACTTGTGATTCATAATTATAGGAACTTCTGGGTGTGGAAACTATCTACCAAAGCAAGTCTTCACCTTAACTGCAATTTTTTCTCTCAGAGAATTGTCTAGAGCACTGAGGTTAAATAATTTGCCCAGTGTCACACACAGAGCCAGAAGGTCATGGATCAGGATGTCAGTTTCCTCAAAGCCTCAATCTGGCTAGCTTTCTATCCAAAATATCAAGCTGTCTCTAATCAAATCTTAACTAAATTTAAGCAGCTTAAAAATGTATTATTTTTACTAGTCATTTACCAGTCAATTCAGATTTCTTCTTCCATTACTTATTCTTTAGTGGTAGACTTTTATCGAAAAATTCTACCAGGTCCTTGTTTGTCTTTGACATGAATTCCTTTGTTTCAAAGCAAAATGGTTTTATCTGTATAATACGTAATTTTGGGGCCCAATCCTAACTTAAAAAACTTTTATACATAGACAACTTTGACATTTTTCCTTTGTCGCTTTTGAAAAGTCTGATTTTAGAACGAATGTTATTGCTTTAACAATGTGATTTTTCTTTTCTTTTCTTTTCTTTTTTTTGAGAATCTTACTGCAGTACAGGTCCTTTAGACTGAAGAAGTTCTTCATGAAGTAGCAGATTGGAGTGGTAAGTGTACTCCAGGTGTGCATCAAAAAATTTTTACTTAAATAATTTTTTTCTCTTTGTCTGCAGTTTTACAATCCTGTGCCTTAGTAAGGCAAAGTTGAGATGTGTCTTTGCCCTCATATATTCTCTTTAGAGTGTTGCCTGACCTAGCATATTATGTACAACTTTTTTTAGGTACTCTAAAGTTCCTAGAGACAAGGGTACCTAGCCTGGGTCGGGAAGAACTGAGCTCAAATCTGGCCTCAGACACTTACTAGCTGTGTGACCTTGGGCGAGTCACTTAACCTCTGTCTGCCTCAATTTCCTCAAATGTAAAAGAGGTAACAATAGCACCTACATCCTAGGGTTACTGTGAGGATCAAATAAGATCATATTTGTCAAGTCTTCAGCACAGTGTCAGGCACATAGTAAGCATTATATAAATGTTAGCCCTTATTATAATTAGCTATTATTACTCTAACAGAGTGTCTAGATTAGCTGAGATCTCAGAGGATACTAAAATATATAAAAACAAAGACCCTAATGTTTGTGTCTCTTGCTTTTGTCTTCCAAATCTGTACTATGTTCTGTGTAACATCTCAATGCTTTTTCAGTCTCGTCAGTTTCCTGGGGAGGTTCTTAAATTTTGTTTTTATTCTGTCTTTTCTTGGTTATCTGCTGTGTCCAAAGAGGCTTCAGAACTTGGACAATGCACTATAGGTTTCTGACTTCTTGTTTCATCTTTGTGCTTTTTAATGCTTTGTTTTATTTCCTTTAAAATATCTACTATATGGTTTAACTTTCCTGTCCGTTTCCACATTTCCATTTCATCCCCTAATGTGGAGAGTCTTACTGCAGCACAGGTCCCTTAGACTGCAGAAGCTCTTCATGGCGCAGCAGATGGGAGCAGTAAGTATGTCCCAGGTGTGCAGCAAGAAGGACGTGCTGGTCTAGCTCGTGGCCAGGGGACTGGCTGTAGGTTTGAGTGGGGAGGCAGAATTCTCCAATTTCCAGAATGGTAGGGAGTTAGCAGGTGCACAGGTGCTCCCTGGGGTGTGGGGCCACAGCAGGGGTTAAGCCTGACCCCCTAGCACCTGATTTTTCCAGTGCCTCACTGGACTAGAGGGAAACTCTGGCTTTTGTCCTAATGCAGATGGTATGGACCTAGACATGCAGTTCTGAGAGTCTTAGAAATTTTCCGTCTCCACCTGAAGACTAATTGGGGGGGCTAATGGATGAGAATCCCTGTCATCTTTGGCTGGTAAGGTCAAACTGCTAGAAGTCCTTGATTGTAGTCAGAATAAAAATGATCACAGCTGAGGACACTCCTTCCCTTGTTCTATTCTGGTCATTCTGGAATACTGGTGGCAGTTCCTAACACCTGAGACGTGCTTTTGCTCCCTGCTCCGTGAAAGGGGTCTGAATTCTGCACGAGCCACAGGCTGCCTCTATGATCTTTATTCAGGAACAAGTCCTGACTCTACTGAACCTGTTAATGCTATTGAGAAGAATGGGCCAGAGAACCTGCCCCTAAGAGACAGAGGTACATGCTCTCATTTTTATATGACTACTTCTAAATAACCACATTTATTAAGTAAAAGATATAATTTAAATAGCTTTTGTTAGAACAAAACCATATTAATGATTATATTATTAAAGTTTTGGGAACAAATTTGAACCTAGTTCCTTATAAACTACTAAGTTTCCTCCAATAAAGGTAGTTTTTCTATTTGCCTATGTTTTGAGAAACAGGGTCAATAAGTGAACCATGACAGAGTTCACAATTTCAAAACAGGAGCTGGCAATTCCCTGACTTCTTTACCTGGTTTACGTAGATGCTCTCAGGACCTGAAATTTGGAGAGAAACAGGCTTGGTGCCTGGTAGTAAAGCAGGAAGAACTGGAAATATAAACTACAGAGATCATAATGTTTTAAATTGGGGAGGGTGGAAGAATTAGCTCCTGGAGAGAGAAAAGAGTAAGGGCAGAATGTATCTAAGAACTGAAATACTGACCCTGAAATCTTAAGGAAAAAAACATGCCAAAAGCAATTTATTCCAGAGGAAAATGTTGGAAATAGTTTATCTTAGTAATATACTCTTCCATGGAACTGCAAATCTATCTTGCCCATCACCAATGACAAGATCTCACCTAACAGGCAGTCAGGAAGAATAACAAATTATCTCTTAAGAACGCTCTGTGTTATGCACAATAAGTATTTAAGAAATGTTTGTCAAATTGAACTGAAAGTGGTAGCTACATTTCTGGGAATCCTATTGCCTTGGGGATAGCATTGCTGAAATAAAGGGGACAGTGTAAAAATGCAAGGTAAAAAAATGTAAAATGGAGACAAATTATATGAGTAAATATGGTAACTGAGCACATTCACTTTCAGGCACAGACCATTAAGATATAAATAGTTTTTCAATTTTAATCCAGTAGTCTAAGACTCTACAATGTAAAGGAAAATAGCTCTCACACACCTGTAGAGACAATCAAGGCCTCCTGGTCTTTCTAATTGCATGAAGTTGTGTCGCAAGTTGAGGTAGGTGATGTCTTGACTATAGAAGAGATGCTCAGGAACCTCCTCAAGGCTATAACATGAGAGATCAACTGTACTTATCCTCTGCGACACCACCTGAATAAGCCAAAGAAAGTTGCGACTTAGCAAGTATATTAGTACATTTAAGAAACAGCTGAGGATGCAGCAAACATGAAGAGCAGCACTGATTACAAGGATGTACAATAATAACCAGGCAAAGGAATCAGGTTGCAATCAGAAACATCAGTTAATTTTCATTTCTTCCCCATCTCACCCCTTGTCTCCCCCATCAAGCTGAATGTTGTTTACAAAGAGGTATAAATAATCCAAAGAAATGAAGAGCCACCAAACATCTATGGATAAGTTGTTATAAATTAAATTACCAAAGGTGAAAGTTAGTACTTCAAGCCACAAGACAAATTTAAGATTATTCAGTTTGTATAAATATAAAAGCTGCTTTTAATAATATGCCAAAGTATGGGATAACTACTCACGACAAAAGCCAGCCTTAGAGAAATGAGAATTCAATGCAATACAATGTTTAAACTATAGAAATTTAAGGGTTAATTGAAGGGTTAAAGGTTGAATCGATAATGTAATATGGACTAGAGAAACAAGTTAAGAAAAAATGAGGAAATGCCACGAGGAAATCATTTATGCTTTGATTACATATCTCCACACTAAATAATTGCAAGTTTTATTGCTTCGGCAGTGCTTGGATTCAAGGTTAACTGTTTTAACTTTTAAAATGAGTATGCAAAGCTAGTGTACAACTAGGCAGAAAGAGGCTAGGCTAACAAGGGAATCTAAGTAAACTTTTAAAGTTGTTGGCCTTTATGGATTTAAAACAGCAAACATGCTAAGAGGCCAGGTAGGTGCCCATAGCAAGCCAAAAAGAAGACAGGTCTTTACAATTAAATGATGATCTAGAATGACAATATTACAGTTCACTGCCATATCACTAAGGATAAAATCAGAAAGGTACAGAGCAAAGAGTACTGAGATACAGGGGAAATGGATTCTAGTCCCAGCTCTAGCACTCATTAAGCTACATATTCTTGGGAAAGTAATTTGATATTCATTTCCTTATTTATCAAAATAAGAGACAGCAACGGCTTTACCTACCTACCCTAAAAGGGGTGGTATAAGGATAAAATTAGTTAATTTATATGAAAATCTTTTTTGAAGTACAGCTATACTTTTATGCTCAACATATATATGGATCTATGTATGCGTAAACATATATGTTGGAATTATATTTACAGAACATATAATAGCCTTTGAATAAGCTGTGTATTTGAGTGCAGACTCTTCCCAGAAATGCATTATCACTCGTTATTTATCATTTATGGAGACAGCCCAAGAAGGAGAGCTGAGAGCTAGAACACAGTCCTAGGGGAGTAAGCGCAGTCCCCGCACCTTGGAGGCCTGCCGATGCCACCGCTGGCACTCCGCCAAGGACTCAAAGCAGACATGGTATGTCGGAGCCTGCGCTCCTGCAGAGCTGAAAGCGAGGCTGTGTTGCCGCCGTTTCAATTCTTCCACCTGAAACAAGAAGACAAAGGGATCATAGGGAGAGGCAGGCTCCATGATGACCCCAGTTAGGCACCAAGTAGGGGAATCACAAGATATAAAGAATGGTCATCATGTTAAGTAATTCCCTTGAACTCATAGGTAAATGATGACTTCATATCATTCATTTGTAACACAAACCCAGAATGTAATTACTTTTGAGGAGTGGCAAACAATTTCACTGTAAGAATATGTGCAAAACCAGAAACTATTAAAGGCAGAACCTCTGATACTCACAATTTCAGAATTCTCAAGGTAGGCTTATAAATGTAAGAGCCAAAATTATATTGTTATATTGAAAACACTTCCAGAATATAAAATACAAGCAAGTATGGGTCAGTCTTTTCCTTACCTAAAGTAACCTAAAAGAATGAAGAGTAACTCTCATCTGTCATTCTCACCTTTCCCCCAACAAGGGGCAAAATGTGCATCTTCCCAGTCTGGCAGTCTTTCACTGAAGACACAATCAGGCAAGTCCCACAGAGAACAACTAAGCGCTCAGCCCACTTATGAAGCTGGGTCTTTCCCTTGCGTACGGTATAGACGCCAGATAACAGAATTCGGTCTAGATGGTCCATCTGGCAAGGTTTTTCTGAAATAAAAAGTACATTACTGTTTACTAAATAATGATAGTCTTATCAAACACATATGCCAACAAATTAAATCAATAAGCATTCACTACGTGCCAGGCACAGTGCTAAATGCTGGGAATACAAAGATGGATAACCAAAAAGAAAGCCAATCACTGCCCTCAAGGAGTTTATATTCTACTGGGGAAAGAATACAGAAAAGGAAGCTGAAAAAGAAGGTACCTGTTGCAGAGGAGTGGAATAGTAAAGAAGGAAGTCTGGAGAGTTCAGAGATAAGTGGTCAATCACAGCAAGTATCATAGGATAAAATATTAAATGTACCAACGAAGACATTACATTACACGGGCATAAGATTTCTGGCCTACCAAGTCAGTCAGTCAACTATCACTTTAATTAGCATCTACTCTGCGCTAGCAACTGTGCTAACTGCTGGGGAAATAAAGGCAAACGACAACCCCTGTTCTCAAAGAACTCACAAGGAACAGCAGGCAAACAACCATGTGCAAACAAGATACAAATAGGACAAATTTGGGGTAGTTTCAGATTAAAGAGGACTAGGAAAGGTTTCAGAAGACAGAACTCAGCCGGGATTTGAAAGAAGCCAGGAGGTAGAGATGAGAAGGGAGGGCATTCCTGGCATGGAGCACAGCAAGCAAAGCTGGAGGACCAGCCAGGAAGTGAGGGTCACTGTATCACAGAGTGTGTGGAGGAAACTAAGGGGTAAGAAGACTAAAAAGGCACCAAGGGCTTGGAAAGACAAATGTAAAACAAAGGATGGTCTACTTGATCCTACCAGGGAATCACTGAAGTTACTGAATACGGATTAGGGGAGGAGGGCGAGATATGGTCAGAGCTGTGCTGCAGGGAAGATCAACGTGACAACTGAGTGGAGCATGGATTAAATGGAGGAAGAGACTCAGCACAACCAATCAGCAGGCAACTGCAAAGTCCAGGCAGAAAGCAGAAATGACAGGACAATGACAATTTACTGGATATGGAACGAGAAGAGTGAGGAATAGAGATGACATCTAGGTGGTGAATCTGGGCAGTGCAAAACACTGAACCTGAAGTTAGGGAATACCTGAGTTCAAATCTGGACCTAGACACCTAACAGCTACATGACCCTGGGCAAATCATTTAACTTCTGTCTGCCTCAGTTTCCTCATCCAAAAAATGGGGCTAATATCAACTACCTCACAGGGTTATTGTGAGAACCAAGTAAGATATCTGTACAGCACACTTAGCACACTGCCTGGCACGCAGTAAGCATCTTTTCTTAAATGCTCATTTCCTCCTTAAAATAATGCTTTATAACTGGCTAAAAAGCATTCCTGGAAAGTTTGTAGTTTTCTATAAGCACCATTCAATCTGAATTTTAGCAGAACTATGGTTAAAGTTTTATTTAGGGATATAATTACATTGGTGTAGCATATTTTGCCAGGAAGCAGCGAGGTGTCTCAGTGGACAGAATGCTGTGCCTGGAGTCAGGAAGACCTGAGTTCAAATCTGGCCTCACTCACTCACTAGCTGTGTGGCCCTGGGCAAGTCACTTAACCTCTGCCTAATCCAGTAGAGAAGGAAATGGCAAACTACTCCAGTATCTTTGTTAATAAAATCTCATATGGAATCGAGAAGAGTCAGACACAACTGTACAACAATAACAAGAAGCATATTTTGAACTTTATTTCATATGACGATCAAATAGAATGGACATATATCAAATGCTTTGTAAAAATTAAAGCACTAAACAGGGTATTCTGAAACTCTCTGTAGTTTTAAGATGGCTTACAGGCTAGTTATTATTATTATTATTATTATTATTATTATTATTATTATTATTATTATTATTATTATTATTGCTGCCTATATAAATCTTAGCTGTTACTATTTTTTTCACATTAAAAGGAAAACTGTTGCATGAAAATGTCTAGCCTTTTCTGAATATAAGCTGAAATTCTTAAATGGAAGTGTTAAGATAAATCTAGCTCATTGTTAAAATTCATGTTTGTTAAAAAAATAGCACCCTACTTAGTATCTCAATCTGGACTTTCTATATCTGTTTGTCTTGTTGAATTTAAAGAGACTTCAGAAGTATCTAAAAAACATGAAAAAAAAGAGTTCTAATGATTTTCCAAGAAAAGGCATATGTGACTGATGAACTGCTAACAAGTGGGATCAACACAAACACTGCAGCGACCTATCTTTGCATAAGATGATTCTGAGGCCCACAGGCGGGCAACACTACTCCTGGTGTCAGGTTCAGACTCAAGTGTTACCATCAATGTTTGTAAATGGGGATGGCACTACAGCAAAATGCAGGCAAAGGAAATCTTCTGAGATTAAGTGGCTACATTCTATTTTTCAATACAGAACTTGAAATGAATCAATAGGATTTTTGTCTACTTAGAGTATTTTAAATGTCTTTTCAAAAATATGTACCACTAATTCTCCTTTCCACTATTTGTTGGAAACAATAACCTTCTTATTGAAGGCTAAATTATTAGTGAGTTTACTTTCACTGCAAAACCATTTTTGTGGCATGTACCAGAACCAAAAGTTCATTCCATGTTAAGTAGCAACTGGCCATTTGCTCTTAAGTTTCTAATTTTCAAAATAATTTTTTAACATTCTATTTAAGAGATTGAAAGAAAATATGAAAGACCCTTCCTTTATTAAATAGGATACTCCACAACTCAACAAAAGATTATTTTAAAATCACATCACTTTCTATACCTGATATTTAATTAAAAGGGAACTCCGCAAAAACATGATTTTACTGCAGCTATGTCTTTGTTTCTGAATATAATTTAACATTTTAAAATTGTCTGATCACCTATTATAAAGGTAGACATTAAATTAATGGTAATTAATCTATAATTCCTTGGATTTCTTTTCCTAAATCCTTGTTCCTTTAAACTCCGAATTTTATTTCAGAGGAAACTCCTAAATCTGCCATCTCTCAGAAGGAAGCAATCAGTTTTGTTTGGGATGACTCATTTCTTTCTTACTTCACGTGCTGTTTTGGTAATAGCTTTGTAGGATTGGCCAGAAGCAAAAAATGCCTGAAGTCTTTATATTAAGAAAAAAAAAATTTGTTGATAGTGATAACAACTAGTACCAGATAATTCAGACTTCCATTTCAGAAGTATACTGGCCCTAACTAGAACAATTTGTACATTTAGAGAAGGCAAAAAGAAGCTATAGGCTTTAAAAAAAATGTAATTTTGGTACAAATGTAAAGGGATCATCAAAAAATAATACAAGATGTCCCAAAAGTCTTAGTGCCATTTAATAGCCTTAAGTTATTAAAGATTAAAACTGCCCTAAGATTTTGGGAACAATCAGTACAGATGCCTAGGTCTTAGCAACAGGTTGCTTTACTAAAGGAAGCTTTCACTCTGCCCCATCCCAAACATTATTTATACCTGTGAAGCACAATTACATGTTCAACCCAATCCCCCACGTTTTCTAAACGTACACAGGTCTGATGAGAATAGATTCCCAGACCGAAACACGGGCAAGACAACATAGACGGGCTGTACCATACTCAAAGTACTCTATTTACTAACACTAATATATATGTAGATATGTGTATATATGTGTATATGTGTAAATGTGTATATGTGTATATGTGTGTGTGTGTGTGTGTGTGTGTGTGTATGTTCTTCACAACTGATGAAACAAAACGGATTTTCTGATTAACTCAAATTTCAAATTCACTCTACCACTTTATTCTCTGAGTTTCTAGTTAAAAGTTATATACTAAGTTTTTAAATATCTGGAACACCATGAGGGCAAAATATCACAGAACTTTTTTTTACTTATCCTTCCATATGGAATCATAATATAGCTTACAAGCCAATACGTAAGAGGTATTATGATCCCATCATACAAACTGTGATGTTTCTTTGTCAACTACTTTGATACCTACCTATTATCTTATTCAAGATATACAAGGTTCTAAAATTATAGATAGCCTAGTATTAATGTGAGTGTGTTACCTGGGAGTTCCTGGTGGCTGGACTATTCCTTTTTTCCAAAAATGAAACAAAACAAAACAAACAAAAAAAACTATTAAAAATTAGATAGTTTGACTCCAGGTCCCTAAATGACTGTTCCTAAAGATAAATAGCTTAGGTACTCTGTATACATTCATTTCTGGCCTATAAATGTAATAAGAGAAAAGATAAACCATTAACTGCACAGTGATTGAGGACAAGGAAAGAGGGAAAAAAGAAATACATATTCAATTCAATACAGCAAGCATCTATTAAGCACTATCCATGCAAGAAGGCAGCTTGCTAGAACAATATAAACAAGAAGATGAAACACAGTGTCTGCCCTCAAGGAACTTACATACAGCTTATAAACAGAAAAGTGATGTCTCCCCCATTAGACTGAGCTCCTTGAGGGGCTCTTTTGCTTCTCTTTGTATCCCCAGCATTTAGCACAGTGCCTGACACACAGAGGTACTTAATGTTTAGTAATTGATAAATAAGTAAATATAAAATAATTTGAGGAGGGAGATTGTACTAACAACTAGGAAAATCAGAAAAGACTTCTAGATAAAGAGATAAGCCTTGAAGGAAGCTAAAAATCTAAGAGGCAGAGGTAAGGAAGAAGGGCAATCACGGTACGAACAGGGAGATAACACCTTGTGCCAAGGCAAGGGAAGCAGGAGAGGAGATACCAAATTCAGGGGAAAAGCAGGTAGGCTAGTTTGTAAACCTAGAAAAGTCAACCAGAAGCTAGACTGTGGAGAGTTTTAAATGCCAAGATGAGGAATCTGTATTTCTCCTAGAGGCAACAGGTTTTCGATGAAGGTGCTGAAGCAATAAAGTTGCTCTACCATAGCAATGACTTGGATTTTAAAAGGTCATGGCAGATGTAGTCAACTGGCCAGTTACATAAAACAATAGGCTTTTACCTCCCACATTTACAGGCCTAAGTGGAGACATCCACGGCCAGGAGCACAGATGGGCAACAAGGGAAGAATTCAAGG